CCAGGGGCAAGAGAGAAGACTGGGTCTGATGGACGTGGGTTGGTGCTGGGTGGGGAGCACCAAGAATGCCACACCCCATCTTCTTTCCTTAAAGTCCCTAGGCAGGCAAGGAAGGGCCCTCATTTCTGCCCAAGTCCCCTTCCCTCCACCCCACCCCTCAACAGGGCAAGTTAATCGTGGCTCCTCTGCTCCTGTCCTGCCTGGGGACTCACAGTCCCAGGAAGCTGGGAGATTGGGACCTAGGTGCCCGGGGGGACTCGGCGGCCCACCACCTCTGACCCCTGCCCTCTGCCCTTCCCGGGCCCAGGAGGCACCATGTGGCTATGTCCACTGGGGCTGCTGCTGTTGTCGCTGCTGCCTGCCAGCGAGGTGGCCCTGGGCAGCCGGCGGGGTCGTGGGCGCCGGGAGCTAGCACCGGGGCTGCACCTGCGGGGCATCCGGGATGCAGGCGGCCGGTACTGCCAGAAGCAGGACCTGTGCTGCCGCGGCCGCGCGGACGACTGCACCCTGCCCTACCTGGGCACTACCTGTTACTGTGACCTCTTCTGCAACCGCACCGTCTCCGACTGCTGCCCTGACTTCTGGGACTTCTGCCTCGGCGTGCCACCCCCTTTTCCCCCCATCCAAGGTGGGCACCAAGATGGCCAGGAGGGAGGGTCGCTTTGTCAATCCCTGACTCAGACAAGTTCAGGAGCAAGGCTGATTGATACACTGACATTTCTAGGAAAGGCTTAAAATCAGGAAATGAGACCCCTGCCCCATTCCCTGATTCTCCAGTCCGACTTGAATCTCTCCAGCAAGGCTGGGAGAAAGAAGATTCTTTGGGCAGTGGGGTTCTAAGCTGGCCCAGGGGAAAGGCAGCCTGGTGCCCTTTCTCCCAGTCTTATCTCCATTCCGGACATAGAAGGTGCTGGCTCCGCCTGCTGACTCACCATCAGGCTGATAAAGCACACAAGGTTAGTCAGGGCCATTTAAGCCAGTCCTCTGCCTTTGCTCAGGTTCTCTGCGCCTGAGACTGCTGGTCACTACCTGGGAGGTGGGTCACATCTTTTCATCCCTCCAGCCCTCTCCACTATTCGCATGCACTTGCCTCTGTCCAATAGGAGAATCATTTGAATTCTTTCCCACAACCCCACGGGTCTTTGGGCTGGGAGACTACACCCCTAGGTTATCATCCCAAAGTGCTGTGTTACTTTAGGGGAGTCACTTACCTTCTCTGGGCCTCCACTTCCTCATGCTTCTCACACTCCCCATCTTCAAACTCATTTAAATGGCAAAGGAACCCAGGAATATTGTGCTTATTATCCAACTAAACCAAGAGGGATCCAAGTTAGTGTCACTGACGAGCTTCCCAAGTAGCAGTTGGTGTTACAAGAGATGGCTCAAGCTATAGTTAGGCTTTAGTTTCAGTGATGGTTGGCTGGGATCAACAGGAGGTGTGTGTGACTAAGGTGACCTTAGAAGGTGGCCAATGAGGTGCAGGGAGGAGTCGGGATACCTGACCGTTGGAGGACCTGGCCATCCACTCTTCTCTTCCCCACCAGGATGTGTGCATGGAGATCGTGTGTATCCAACCTTGGGAACCTACTGGGACAACTGTAACCGTTGGTGAGTGTTTGGGGTATGGAGGGGGCTTACCTGGTGGGCCTGTGGCCCACAGGCTTGGTTCAAGTCTATTTCTTGGTTCGATTCTCTCTGCCAGTCACTCACTTAGGGCAAGTCCTTTCACTTCTCTGAGCCTCAGTTTCCTCATCTGTAACATGAGAATTTCAATACTGACCGTATCAACTTGTGTAACAACATTCCCCAGGAGTGGTCAGCCGTGGATGCCTGGCCCTAGGTGCTATCCCTGAGCTGGGAGTCATTCCCTGCCCCTCCCAACTGTTCCTGCTGTCACAGGAGAGCCCAGGAGGGAGGCGCCAAGGAGGAAACCTCTGTCGGAGGCATCCACTGCCCTGGGCCGGATGAAGGTCAGGGATGGCTGAGCTGGCGGCTGGCCAGTCTACAAGCAGGGCCTTCCCTGGAATGTGGGCCTTCCTCCCTCCCCTCTGAGGCCAGGCCAGGCCCAACAAGCGGAGGAAGGGTCCAAAGAGCCCCCTGATCCCAACCCCAACTCAACTAGGGGGCTGAAATGGAAAGTGGAGAAAAGGTGCATAGGAAGCCTTGAATGCCATCATGGAAATACTGGAGCCCCTGAACTCTCCCACCCCGTTCCCTGAGAGGCCCCAGGGAGAAGGGAACTTTTGGAATGGAATGTGCATAAGCTGTTTCCATTGCCTCACTGGGACAGGGGTGCCTGGGTCACAGTGAGAGTGGGGACTAGTGCGTTTCAGCGTGTGTCTGGGTGAGAGAATGTGTTTGCATGTTTGTATAGTGTGAGTGCGTGTGAACTGTGAGTGCAAGTTCAGAAAGACAGAAGGGGCCTGCATCACTCTGCTGGTCCTGATAGCCTCTGGACACCGAATGGTTAACACCCCACTCCCACTTCTGTCCCTGGGCCTGGCCTCAGAGGCCCCCTCTGGAATGCTAGGACCTGCTGCCACCAGCCCTGTCTAAACCTGCTTGGGCAGCCCTGGGGCAAAGGAGAAAGCAGCAAAGAACTGACCGGCCTATTGCCCCACCAGGGCAGCGCGGTATGGCTGTGTCCCTTCATGTTTACGCCTGAGTGAGGGTGTGGAAGAGTGTCTGTGGGTCCCCAAGGGTGTGTGGGCCCCCAGGGATGCTGAAGAGGAGCTGCTGCCTGAATGCAGAGGGGGAAGAGAGGACAAGGAGAGACCTCCCTCCCCCGCAGACAGACTCCTCCAGCCCTCCCTGAAAATGCTCCGCCTGCTCCTAGGATGGAGAGCCCAGCCATTCTGGGTCTTAGTTCCCCTTGAGGCTCCTTAAAAGGCAACAGTGGAGGCGGGAGCCCCGGACAGGCTTGGAAAGAGGCAATTTAGCATCTTGTAATAGCAGAGTTATGAGCTCATAAAAGTATCACAAAATTCCTAGAATTCAACTGTTCAGTCAACAGCTATTTATTGAAGACCTACTATGTTCTGGGTCCAGGACAGCCAGAACAAGACAGACACAGTCCTTGATCTACTGGAGCTTCTGATGGCGTAGTGCCTAAGGCATTTGACTGCTAACCAGAGGGCTGGCGGTTCAAACCCACCAGCTCCTCCTCAGAAGGAAGGTTGGGCAATCTACTTCTGTAATGATACTGCCTTGGAAACTCAAGGAGGGGTCGCTATGAGTCGGGACTGACTTGACAGCAGTGAATTTGGTTAGTCTAATGGGGAAGCACATAAAAGAACAACTACACTCACAAATAAACATTTAATCACAACTTGTCATTGCCATGAGTTGAAATCAACTCAACAGCAACTGGTAATACAGCCAAGAAAGCCTTATGGAGCAGCTCTACTCTGTAACACAAGGGGTTGCCGTGAGTCGGAAACAACTTGAAGGAGAAAGAGAGGATAATGGGGGAATCTTAGTTTAGAGTAGGGAGGGGGCCAGGGAAGGCTTCTCTGAGGAAGGGACATGTGTGCTAACCCCAGGGAGATGAAGGGAAGAGAAGAGAAGCACAGGCAGAGGGGACATTGAGTGGGGCAGCCGGGAAGTGGGACTGAGAGGGAGGGAGAGGCCCTGGGGGAGGTCCTGGGCCACACTCCAGGGGCCACGTAAGCTATGCCAAGGAGTTTGTCTTCTGTCCTTTGTGTCGTGGGAAGCAACTGAGGGAGCACACGATCTGATTTGTATGTTCCAAGATCTCTCTGGCTTCAGGGTAGGTAGGGAATGGATTGCAGGGGGTATCAGTGGGAGTTAGGAGGCCATCACTGTGTTCCAGGTGAGAAGTGACAGGGGCAGCAGTGGAGAGGTGAGAGGTAGGTGGATTCCAGAGTCTTCCACGCTGTGCCACCCATAGGACATGCTGATGGGCTGAGTATCTGCGGGTAGAGAAGTGGTGAACACCATGGACCACTCTGAATTTTGGTGGACAAGGTGCTGTTTGCTCAGCTAAGGAATGTTGGAGAAGGAGTAGGTTTTGGGGAAGGCAGTTTTGGCCATTCTAAGTTTGCCTTTCACATACCCAGAGGACCTATCAGGAAGCCAGTTGGACAGAAGTCTGAAACTCAAGAGAGAGGGAGGGGCTAGGGGTTCCTGTGATGAGAACAATAATAATAGGTAATCCTGGAGCCCTTAAACTGGACTGGGCCCTGTGCTGCATGCGTTACAAGCCTCGCTTCATTTCATCTGTGGATTGTGGTAGTCTTCCCCTTGCCATCAAGTTGATTCCAATTCATAGCGACCCTACAGGACAGGGGAGCTCTGGTAGCATAGTGCCTAAGGCACTTGACTGCTAACCAGAAGTCTGGCAGTTCAAACCCACCAGCCACTCCTCAGAAGGAAGATGGGGCAATCTACTTCCATAATGATACCCAAGGAGGGGTCACTATGAGTCAGGTCCGACTCGACAGCATACAACAACAACTACAGGACAGTGTTTATGGAACAGTAATCTTTATGGAAGCAGACTGCTGCATCTTTCTCATGTGGAGCGGCTGGTGGGTTCAAATGGCCAATCTTTTGCTTAGCAGTCAAGCACCTTAACCACTGTACTACCAGGGCTCCTTTTGGTACTCTTACTATCCTCATTTTATAGAGGAGGACATCAAGGCAGAGGGAGTCTAAATAACTTGCCTGGGTTCGCACTACTTGACAGCTAGTACTGGAACCCAGAATTTTAATTCCAGTACTCATGATCATCATCATTTCACTACATTCCCTCAATAATTCATTCTTCCAACAAATATTTGCTGGGTGCCTATTATGTGCTAAGGAGCTCTGATGGCGTAGTGCCTAAGGCACTTGACTGCTAACCAGAAGACTGGCGGTTCAAACCCACCAGCCACTCCTAGATGGAAGACAGGGCAATCTACTTCCGTAGTGATACTGCCTCGGAAACCCAAGGAGGGGTCGCTATGAGTCGGGTGCGACTCGATAGCACATAACAACATTATGTGCTAGGATTACCTGGCTAGTACAGCTGGCTAAATCACTCAGCTGCTAACTGAAAGGTCAAGGTTCAAGTCCACCAGAGGCAACTGGGGAGAAAGGCCTGAGAATCTGTTTGCTAAAAGTCAGCCATTGGAAACCCTATGGAGCAAAATTTTACTCTGACACACATAGGATCGCTGTGTAAGCATCAACAGCAACTTTTCTTTTTTTCACTATGTTTACATTCTGTTTAGGACTGGTGCAGTATTTAAGCACTACGCTGCTAAACCAAAAGGTTGGTCGTTCAGACCCACCAGGGGCTCCACAGCAGCCTATTTCTGCAAAGATTGTCACTGCCTTGGAAACCCTATGGGGAAGTTCTACTTTGCAGTTGTTGTTTGTTTGTTTGGGGTCGGTTCTGTTTTCCTAGAACTTGAATACACCAAGAAATACCTGTCCTCAAGAAACTTAGAGTCTGTGGGGAAACATGAGCTCTGGTAGCATAGTGGCTAAAGCACTTGACTGCTAACCAGAAGGCTGGTGGTTCAAACCCACCAGCCACTCCTCGGAAAGAAGGTTGGGCAATCCTCCTTCCGTAGTGATACTGCCTCGGAAACCCAAGGAGGGGTCGCTATGAGTCGGGGCCGACTCGACGGCACATAACAACAACAACAACAACAATGGTGCCTTCTGAAGCACAATATAGTATGTCAGATAGTGATTCATGCTAAAGAGAAAAATAAAACAGGGAAGGGAAATAGGAAGTGTGGGGAGGTCAAAGTTTATGATGGGGCAGGTCTCTCTGAGAAAATGGCATGTGAAAGAGTAAGAGTGAGCCATGGGGAGATGGGAGGAAGAGCAGCTCAAAGGCCTGGGGCAGGATCACGGCTGGTGGGTCAGAGAAAGGACATGAGGCCAACGTGAAGCTGTTGGGAGCCGAGACTAGGAGGAGGAGGACCAGTCAGAAAGGAAGTAGAATGCAGAGCCTTGTCCATCAGGGTAAGGACTTTGGCTCTCACTCTGTGACTCTGGTAGCATAGTGGCTAAAGCACTTGACTGCTAACCAGAAGGCTGGCGGTTCAAACCCACCAGCCACTCCTCAGAAGGAAGGTTGGGCAATCCTACTTCCGTAGTGATACTGCCTCAGAAACCCAAGGAGGGGTCGCTATGAGTCAGGGCCGACTCGACGACACATGACAACAACAACTGCGATGCAAAGCCAATGGAGATTCAGGGCAGAGGAGTGAGGCGATATGACTTAGGTTTAACAGGGTCACTCTGCGTTAAAAATACAGTGAAGAGGGCGGGGGCCAGCACAGAAGCAGAGAAGAGTGAGGAAGCTCCAGCAGTAATCTGGGGTAAAGGTAGTCGTCAGACCACGGCTGCAGGAAGGGTTTGAGACGTGGCAGAGCCAATGGGGATTTGCCGATGAATAGGATCAGCACGTGAGAGAAAGACAGGAGTCCCAGATTTTTGCCTAAGCTCCAGGAAGGATGGAGTTGCCATTTTCAGAGGCTGTGAGAGAAACAGCCTTGCGAGGGAGGGAGAAAAGGAATTCAGTTTGGGGTGTGTCAAGTCAGACACCAAGTGGCAATGCTGAGTATAAGATCCTTGGATCCAGAGTTCAGGTAGAGATCAGGCTGCAGGTGGAAATTCGAGAACTCAGCATGCAGGTGACATTTAAAGCCACAAGGCTGCATGGGATCATCTAGGGATTCTCCCATAGATACTGGTCCACAATCCCAGGCCCATGTTGACCTCTGAGGCCTCTTCCCTTCAGAGGGTCCCAAACCCCTACTCATTCCTTCCTTGCCTCCTTCTCTTACCAGCACCTGCCTGGAGAAAGGACAGTGGGAGTGTGACCAGGAGCCATGCCTGGTGGACCAAGACATGATCAATGCCATCAACCAGGGCAACTACGGGTGAGAGAGCCCTGGAAATACTCAAGCATTTCTTGTGCACACACACTCTCTCTCTCTCTCTGCCCAAGTTGCATGTGCTAGCACATACCTACACTGAGATTTGATTAATGAGTCCCTGGGTGGTGCAGACAGTTGTACACTCAGCTACTAGCCTTAACATTGGTCATTAGAATACACCCAGTGAGGCCACAGCACTATGCTTCGGAAAGGTCATAGCCATGAAAACCTTATGGGGCAGTTCTTACATACATGGGGTTGCCGTGAGTTGGTACTGACTTGATGGCAACCTGTTTGGTTACGCTTAGCCAGCGTGCATCTCTCCCACCCATGTGCATGTATCCCCAAGATCTCCTAGCCCTGCCAGGTCTGGGACCCTCTGCCATCCTCTCCCCTTCAGGTGGCAGGCTGGGAACCACAGTGTCTTCTGGGGCATGACCCTGGATGCGGGCATTCGACACCGCCTGGGCACCATCCGCCCGTCTTCCTCTGTCATGAACATGAACGAGATTCACGTGAGTCCACCCTTCCCCACAAGGCTGCCATCTCCCCATGACCTAGGACCTCAGGGACCCTAGAACCCTGGACCCTGGACCTGTCTGCCACCAACAGGCTGTGTGTCCCTGAGCAAGACACATTCTTTCTCTGGGCGTTCATTTCCTGCATATAAGAAGATGTGCTGCAGCGGAAGAACTGATGCTTAGATGCTGAATATTATGACTTCAGCATCAGTCTCTCCCTGGCTTCCCCAGCCTGGGAAAAATGCTGTTGGTCCCAGAATGGCTGGGTCAGAGTCCAAGAGGACAGAGGTCATCTTGGTATTTTGGGAAGGGAGGGACAGACACTCCTCCATTTCTGGCCAGAGCAGGAATTCTCGGAAACAAATGCCGACTCAGCGGAACCCCAGGGGAGGAGGGGGCTTCTAGAACACTCTGGAGGGAGAAATGGAACAGACTCTCACCAGCCAAAGGGTAGGGAAGGGGGCTTCAGCAGGATGAGCCTGGGACACATGCAGGAGGCTCTTCTGTCCATCAGGGTCAGGCAGGGAGGAGGTGGGGATGCCGGGAGTGGGCCTTTCCTACAGAGAGACCTCAGCCCAAGGCTGGGGTGACTGGACCCTGCCCTGCCCTGCCCTGCCCTTACTCCCCTGGGCCTCTGGCTATTTTCTGCCTCCTGCTGTTTGCCTTGGCAGCCTGCCTAGTCACGAGACTCTGTTGCTTCTTCCCTCCCCTGCCCTTTGGGGCCTCGGCCTGAAGCCCAAGGTCCTGGTGGGAAGAAGGATGTAGCAGATCAAAAGGGGCAGAGGTGGAAAGAGGCAAGGGTTGACAGTAGAAGGACTGGGTGACCCTGGCCTGGCTACTTCGCTGTTCTTAGCCTCAGCTGCCACATCTGTAAATGGGTGTAGTCATCCTCCACCTGGCACTTGGAGGCACTAGATGGTGCTTGGTTCTTCCACTCAAAACAAAGTTGAAAGTAGCTGCATCCCCTCAGCAGCAGGAGGACTCAATATCAAAATGAAGAAGTCCCTGGGCTCTTGGTAGTCCTCCAACACCAAAGGCCCCTGCGGGGAAGGCCAGGGCAGAAGCGGAGGCAGATGGAGTGATCTTTGCTTTGCAGACAGTGCTGGGCCCAGGGGAGGTATTGCCTATAGCCTTTGAAGCCTCCAAGAAGTGGCCCAACCTGATCCATGATCCACTAGACCAAGGGGACTGTGCAGGCTCTTGGGCCTTCTCCACAGCAGGTATGCTCAGGGGCAGGGGCTGGCAAGGTGGGAAAGGAGGGCCATGCATGGCCTGAGCCCCCTGACAGCTCCTCTGCTTCCCCCACCAGCTGTGGCATCTGATCGCGTCTCAATCCATTCTCTGGGGCACATGACACCCATCCTGTCACCCCAGAACCTGCTGTCTTGTGACACTCACAACCAGAAGGGCTGCCGTGGTGGACGTCTCGATGGTGCCTGGTGGTTCCTGCGACGTCGAGGGTGAGCAACCAGGGGTGTGGATTGGGCAGGATGTCTCAGCCTGGGACCCTCAGAACCCTGTAAGCAGGACCCGGGCTATGTTGCACTGTGCTCACTCTGCGCTTGCTCCCTCCTGCTGCCCCTCCAGGGTTGTATCTGACCACTGCTACCCATTCTCAGGCCAGGAGCGGGACAAGGTGGGCCCCGCACCCCGCTGCATGATGCACAGCCGGGCCATGGGTCGGGGCAAGCGCCAGGCCACTTCACGCTGCCCCAACAGCCATGTTCATGGCAATGACATCTACCAGGTCACTCCTGTCTACCGCCTAGGTACCAATGTAAGTCTGCACTTGGGTGAGGGGTCAGAGGCAGGAAAGTGATGAGGGTCAGCCATTGGTCCCTGAAGAAACCTGTTTCCCCCGCCTTCCCTCATCCTCTAGGAAAAGGAGATCATGAAGGAGCTGATGGAGAACGGCCCTGTCCAAGGTGAATACCTCACCCCTGTCCCCTGGTTCTAGAAGCTTGTGTCTGCTTGAGTCTGGGCACAGCAGGCACAGTGGCCTATATAGTGTTGAGCAGCAAGTCCAGTGGGATCAGGAGTAGGGAAGGGCCATGTCCCCTCCCCATGGGCTGCATCTGGAGAAGGCAGTTAGAATATTAATACCAAGAGACTCTGGGGCTGGGCATGCATCCTAGTCTTTAGTGCCTGCACTGATGGGCAGGGCGGGCTCCCATTTTGACCTCTGCCCACAGCGCTCATGGAGGTGCACGAGGACTTTTTCCTGTACCAGAGCGGCATATACAGCCACACGCCAGTGAGCCAAGGGCGGCCAGAGCGATACCGCAGGCATGGGACCCACTCAGTCAAGATCACAGGGTAAGAGCTTTGGTGGGCAGAGGTGGCTTGGAGGCAGTAGGGGGTGCATGGGGCCTGACTCCTTATAATGTCTCTGCAAAGCCAGGGCTGCTGTCCCATTTCAAAGAGGATGAAACTGACTCAGAAAGAAAGAGGGACTTGCCCTGGACCACACTGAGAGTTGAGAACCTTCAGAGTTTTTCTAGGAACTATCTCTTCTTTACACCCCAAAATCCTACTGCTATTGGGTCAATTCTGACCCGTGGCAACCCTATAAGAAGGACAAATTATAAATGCCCCATAGAGTTTCCAAGGCTGGAATCTTCATGGAAACAGACTGCCTCATCTTTCTGTCATAGAGCTGCTGGTGGTTTCAACTGCCTACATTTTGGTTAGCAGCTGAGCACTTCAACCACATGCCACTAAGGCTCCTCTTCTTTACACACTGGGATCAAAATAAGTCCCATTAAATACATACAAGGGTTCAATGGAAGCTTAACTTCTCCCCATGTCAGCACTTGTCCCGACACACCTGACTCTGAGTGTGACCTCACCCAGCCTTCAGTTCCCCTATCTGGCATGATGGGAGGAACTAATTGATTTCAGTTGTCCAACCAATTAAATGTTCTTTTCAGTGAGAGTTTGAAGCCTCTAAGTTACCCACACTCCTCAAGTCTCCTCATTTTGGTCCCTGGCACCCACCCCTCCCTGGCTTCCCAAGTCAGGATGGAGGGCAGGGAGGTGAAGGACAGGCAAATGTCTTCGGTCCCAGAGATCTAGTTTCCAGGGTGTGGGTTCCTGGAGGACCCAAGCCGGAGTCTTGGGGCTTGGCTTCTGCCAAGACCCTCCAGCTGCCTTCCCCCAACTGGGCTTCGGAGAACCCACTACAATTGTGGAGATGGAGCGAGAAGCAGAGAGGGACAGAGAATTGCGTAGAATTTCAGGGTCTTACGGAAATTACCAAAGGCAGCAAGGGCCGGGAGGGGTAGGCCGCCACCGTGAGAGCAGTATATCGGCTCCTTTCTCCTTCCCTGCTCCCCCTACAGGTGGGGAGAGGAGACTCTGCCTGATGGAAGGACGCTCAAATACTGGGTAAGTCACTCAGCTGCGCGCCCTGAACCGCTGTTTTCTTTCTCCTGCCCCTTCACCCTCTTGCCATTCTTCTCATGTCCTTTCCTCATCCTCAGACGGCAGCAAACTCTTGGGGCCCAGCCTGGGGCGAAAAAGGCCACTTCCGCATTGTGCGCGGCACCAACGAGTGCGACATTGAGAGCTTCGTGCTCGGCGCCTGGGGCCGCGTGGGCATGGAGGACATGGGGCATCACTAAGGGTACGCCAGGCCAGGCTTGGAGTCCCAGTCGTGGGGCCGCCGGTGGAAGAGTGACCCGTGGGGCCATGGCCCCCACCCCGCGCTACGAAGCTGCCAGCGCAGGCAGGCGCCACGGGCCTAAACCCTAATCCCGGGCCCACAGGTTCCGCTGACGCAGCGCCCAGCCTGGGAAGGGGGGCAGGCAAGGCTGGTGGAGCCCCCCGCCCCTCCTCGACCTCCCAGCGGGGACGGAACAAGGCCTGACCTGGGGACAGCGGGTCCTGCAGATCCAAAGTCCCAGGCACCCCCACCCAAGACCACTTAAACCAGGACACCTGGGAGTCTCCAGCCCCACTATCCTGCCCTACCCCACCCCATTATTCCTTTTCTCTAAAGATATTTATTTTTGTTTTCACTGTTTTAAAATAAAACCAAAGTATTGATAAACTACAGTACCTTTAAGCTTCTGGGAATGGAACCAGGCCATCGTTGGGGAGGCTGGCATGTGGATGGACAGTGGAAGGGGCTGCCTGAGGCACTGCTGGTTGGTGGGGTGGGTGGACTAGAAACCCTAGCACTCTATTTAGCCCTAATTGTCAGGGCCCCGGGTATTAACCTACTGAGAGGCAGTGCATGCATGGCATGGCCTTTGGCCCCCAGAGAAAAGTGGGCCTGTGGGAACCACCTTTCAGACGCTGAGTCAGCCCTGGGAGGGGGGCAACCCATCAGCCAGCAGAAGTGGCGCCAGTACCCGGCAGGCAATAGGGCCACAGCCCCACAGAAGCAGCAGCTTCTGTCTCTGCAGATCAGCCTCTCTAAGCCACCCAGCCGAGGGGCCCTCTCCTTCCCCGACCCTAGGCCAAGCTGAACCTGCCTCCCCAGCCCCTGTCCCCACCCACCTCCCCAGGCTCCCAGTGCCAGCAAAATAAGACCAGGCCTCAGCTTGGCTTCCAAGGCCCTTAGGACCTGCCAGACCTGCCTCCTCATCAGCTTCTTCACCCTGTTGTTGTTGTTGTTAGGTGTCGTCGAGTCGTCTCTGACTCACAGCGACCCTATGCACAGCAGAACAAAACTCCACCCAGTCCTGAGCCAGCTCCATGATTCTTGCAATACTTGAGCCCATTGCCACTGCCACATGTCAATCCATCTCTTTGAGGGCCTTCTCCTCTTTCATTGACCCTCCACCTTACCAAGCATGACATCCTTATCCAGGTAATGGTCCCTTCTGACAACATGACCAAAGTATATGAGACAAAGTCTGGCCATTCTCACCTCCAAGGACCATTATGGGTGCACTTCCTCCAGGACAGATCTGTTAGTTCTTTTGGCAGTCCATGGTACTTTCAGCATTCTTCACCAGCACCACAACTCAAAAGCATCAACTCTTCTTTGGTCCTCCTTATTCATCGTCCAGCTCTCACATGCTTATGAGGCAACTGAAAATATCATGGCTTGTGTCTGGCGCACCTTAGTCCTCAAGGAGACATCTTTGCTTCTCAGCACTTGGAAGAGGTCCTTTGCAGCCATAGCATAGTGCCTAAGGCACTTGACTGCTAACCAGAAGGCTGGTGGTTCAAACTCACCAGCCACTCCTCGGAAGGAAGATGGGGCAATCTGCTTCCACAGTGATACTGCCTTGGAAACCCAAGGAGGGGTCGCTATGAGTCAGGGCCGACTCGACGGCACATAACAACAACAACATACGTCATCTGATGTCCTGACTGCTGCTTCCATTGGTGTCAATTGTAGAACTAAGCAATGTGAAGTCTTTGATAATTTCAGTCTTTTCTCCATTTATCATAATGCTGCTTATAGGTCCAGTTGTGAGGGTTTTTGTTTTCTTTATATTGAAGTGTAATTCATACTGCAGACTATTTCTTCAATCTTCATCAGTAAGTACTTCAAGTCATCCTCACTTTCAGCAAGCAAAGTTGTGTCAACAGTGTATTGTAGGTTGTTAATGATTCTTTCTCCAATCCTGATGCCACGTTCTTCTTCATATAGTCCAGCTTCTTGGATTATTTGCTCAGCATACAGATTGAACAAATATGGTGAAAGTATACAACCCTGACACACTCCCTTCTTGATTTTAAACCATGCAGTGTCCCC